TTCGCACGGTATCGACGGTCTTGGCACACGAAGCCTGGACGGTCGCACTGGAATTCCCGGATGCAGCTGGGAGGAGGAATGGGGGCGAGAATCAAGGTGTGAGTCGGCACCGGGCGTCGCAGCGCGGGAGTCGGCGGTGGAAGGGTGATTCTTGGAGGAGGTCGAGGTGCGCCGCAGCAGCTTTGCGGTCCTTGCAGTCAGTCTGGAGAGTCGATGATGCCGGTGAGGTGAAGGGTTGTCGCCGGCCATGGTTGCAGCCAAACACCAAGAAAGGCTCGAATAAAATTTCCTGTTCCACGAACCAGACACGCACACAGAATATGTCCACGCACTAACCAGCTCTCTGGACGGGCAGACGCTCAACGCTGGATGCTGGGTCCACGGGCGCGGTGGGTGGCCTGGAGCTTAAGGGAACCGCCTCCGTTTTGTCGCCTGGCAATTGATGGAGCAAGTGATAGTTGATCAGGGGGGGAGAGCGGCAACGGGGGGAGCAGCACTGTTGTCCTTCGCTATGTGTGGAATCTCAAGCAGGAGGTGGTGGCAGCGAGAGCAGAGCGTCTGATCCGTAGCTCCATCTCCGTCTGGCTGAGGCGCGGTGTTGCTGTGTTCTGGCGGGCGGGTGGGAGAAATGCAGAGATGTGGTGTCTGATCGCTGGAGATTTGATCCGTCGGCTGTGAAGAGCTTCGCCAAACAGCTCACCAGCGGCACAGCTTGTCGGCGCAGAAAAAGCAAAGAACGGACCCGAGAGATCGAGAGCTCGCCAGCGCCAATTGGTTTGTTTTTCAATTTCCTCCTCCCAAGCAGATCAACAGCGACTAACGAGCATCCCAGCCTAGTTGAGATGGCTGAACTACTCGTCCTGCTCGAAGAACACAAAACTACGGCCAACAATCTACAGAGCCCCTCAATGCTGTGGTCTTGCTCATCAAACACTGTCAGTCAGCAAAGATCCCTGCGATGGAGAGCAGCCGAAGCGAGATGGACTGCCTCGATCGCCTGGGGATCACGCATCCTTGCTCAGACTTTGGTTCATGAATCACCATTTATTCTGTCTGGTCGACGCATCCTGGTCAAATCGCCAAATAAACCCATGAGCAGCCAACGTCTCGTCTCTCGATCGCCGTTGACCGTGCCATTTACACGCGGCGATACGAGCTTCAAAACTAACGGCTCTCGATTGTCTACAGACTAATTGCCACGGGTTTAAGGATTCCTCCTTCCAGAGAATTCCTTTTGCTCCTTTGCGTCTCCAGGTCAAACATCGATTCTTCCTTTTGAACTTCTGTGGATGGACTAGCTTTCATACGGGTTTCGAGAATCTCGTCGACCGTCACACCGGCAGCCTTAGCTTCTCTGGTAAGATCTCGGTGTAGAAAGCGCCAGACGATGTGACTCGCAAAGATCCCTAATTCTAAAGCGAACCTGCAAAACGTCCCTGTAAGCCTTCTTTTCCCTAGGTTCACCACATGATACGGGCTACTCACACAACACAGTATAAAACCCCTCCCAGGATATCAAACGATTCTTCGGCAACTATAATAAGCCTTGAGCTTAGCGACCCACGTCCAAAGCAGGCTTCATATGTGTGCCTCACCTAAAGCTAGCAATGAAAACAATGCTCCAAGTGCATCCATAGCAAGAAAGCCCCAATCTAAAAGCAGTCAGTTTCAATTTCAAGAGTCGCCGAACATTATGCCCTTACTGATGCCCACGACCCTCCCTCTCCTCTTCCAAATTTCACGGTATGGAGCTAACAACCCGACTACAAGCAGGATCGTGGCGAGAACCCCAAATAAAAGCGCGGGCCATGTGGTGCCTTTCCTATAGGGAATCTAACATCATTGTAGAGCAAGTGTCAGTAGCATTGCCCCCGAGTAGCCCAAGTAGCAGATATCCTTACCCGTAATGTAAGAATGAAAAGGGCCTCTGAACCGCCCAGCAGTGCTCCTACAACCACACCAATTATGGCTGCCCTAGAAGGCGTATATTTGCTACCAGCACATTAGCATTTCACGGATTTGAAAGGGGAGGACAATAAGCTGACTGATGATAGACAAGAATCTGTGTCCAACATAGCAAGCTCAATGCTGCAAAGATCTGTGGCTGGATCTGAATTGGTATATTGACTTCCTATGGGAATTCTTGTCAATTGCGAGCCACAAAAAGGGCAACGAAAGGCACCACGTACTTGCAAGACCATATATACTCCAAACGGAGAGCCACCTGCAATTCGCGAACACGTCAACCCTTATTCCCAATCCTGTTTGCTTTTGGGTTGCATAGACCGTATGGGAAACATTCCGCCTTAGCAAAGGACAAAACATACATAGTGCCCATAGAAGCATCATCGACCCGGGCAACCCGTCCGTCTTCTTTCTTCTCCAATTGTACCAGATCTGAGGGACCAGCTGGACGCACCATAGCACAGTCCCAATAGTCCCCAGCACATTTGCGGCAACTGGAATCTCCTTTGCTCCCATAATTATACAAGTAACTATACAACCGGGAGTGCCCTATATAGCTCGCAATCCAAACTATATAAATGGGGACGTGAGAATAGATCCCCAGAGAATAAGGATTGGAGGATGTTTATACCAAGCCGGAAAAGATAATTGCTTCCCTTTTCTTGCCCAAAGCCATCAAGTTCTGCGGTAGGAACGATTGGCAGCTTCGATTTCGACTCCAAGAGCAATACTCTCTCGAATGGAAAGAAGGATAGCAAAGAATGACGACTGGGTAAAAAGGGCCGGCTTCCATCTAGCCCGAAAGCACACGGCTTCACCGGAGCAACAGCTGCGAGCAGAAAGCCACAGAAAATAAGAAGAGTCCTTTCCAGTCGGAAACGAGCAGCCCGGATGGAAAGAATCAGCGGAAAAGAGGCGAACAGGACGGGCAGATATATCCAAGAAAAAAGGAAAAATGAGAAGAGAAAAATATCCCGATGGAAATGCTCTAGCCCGTTAGACCGTCGGTTCGCATCAACATCGGTTTGTAGCAACTTCTCCACAGCCAGAAACAGGGCCTATTTCTCTTGCGGAAGCAGAAAAGAGAAAACTGAAGCTTCCCACTTGGCTTCCGCTAGTTAGCACCGGGCCCCGACTCCACCGGCAAAGAATCATTAAATGTAGTAATGAGGAAATTTAGATCCCCCGCGTAGGCAGTGGTTCCCAGGACGGTTCGCGAAGACGAATCGAAGCCGCTTGCAAGGAGGCTCCTTTGGCATTATACAAACGCCCACGCGCTCTAGAGGGAGTCGTTTGGGTCGATCTACAGAGTACACCGTTTGCAAATTGCAAAGCAACCCACCAAAGAGCATCGAGAGCGCAACAGAAGCCCGCCGCCATGGTAAACAGCTGGTGGTGGCCATTGACCTAGAGAGCGGCCCAAGAAATACCGGATGCCTTCGATGGGGATTTCGGAAGAAGTTCCAATACGGGCCCAGTCGACTGAAGATGAGGGCTGTCGTTCCTGGACCCTTGAGGGCTACCGCAAACCAGCCAGCACCTATAGCCCCCGCTGTATCATTCTCGTGGCCCGGGAGGACGCGGCTCGGCCTCTTCATCATTAACCTGGCTCAAGGGGTGATGCTTGCGCCTCGGGATTTGCAAAGGCATGGTTCTCCCTGTCTCCTCACAGAAAGGGCATTCGACCCATCCTGGCCAACGGTCTCCTAAGGCAGACCTGGAATGCCCATCCCTCAACTTCCCTGATTAGATTCCGACACGAACAAAACAAGTAGAAGGCATCAAGTCCATTCCATGCCAACGTACCTATTTCTGACCATATGTACAGAGCGGGCGAATCACGCATTGCCCGGCAGACAACAACAAAAACTTTCAATCAATATTGCACATGCAAAGACTAGCGGGATTTGCAGATAAAAAAAAAAGACCGGCATCGGTTCGTCTGTGGACGCGAAGAGTGCCGTAAACCCGGGGTAGAAAACAGACTCGCAACAGTCATACCCTTGCTCTCGTCTGCAAACAAGATAACGGAAAAATACATCGTACAGTCCGGTCCGAACAGCTGGAACATTAGTTCTTGGGGGGAGACCGCTCTCTCCTACAGGGTCAAGTCCTTCCCAAAGCCAAAGGCAAAATCGAAAAGGGTAATGGATACAGCTCAGCGGGATTCTCCAAGCCAGACGACCGAGATCAAGACGAACCACAAGTTAAAAGAGTGAGTGAGAGAGACTCGGGTAGAGAGCCAGATTTCCAGACGAACTTCCGAATCGAAGAAAATCAAATGGAGATTAAAAGAAACGAGGGAGATAACACTAAAACGATTAAAATGAACCCATCAAGACATGACATATTTATCACAAGCTTCCCAATTGCGCCGGAAAAATGACAACAAAAAGTGGGAGAGAATAGCATAAAAAGATACACAAAGACGGCGGGTATCAAGTGCAGAAAAATTGTCTACTTTTCTGCAACGAGCGAGACGTTATGCACACTATTATTGGACGCTGGCATCACTTCCTTTTTTCCTTTCTTTTATGTGTTTATTTGGTTGTCATATCGCTCAAAGCAAGATCAAGTAATTCGATGGTGCTATTCCCGTCTCTCCCGTCGCTTTCTTCGCCTGCCACCACCGGCCGCTTACATCCGACACTTCGAGAATTTCATTTTTGGTGAAACTGATTTCGTTTGCATCATCGGGATTTGCTTCATATGCATAGATCGCCTTAGCCTTATAAGGGTATTCCGTAGGCGGGCTCACTTCGTTGGGCGCTTCGCCATTGGAGCTTGTGCCTGCCAAGTTAACTTGTGAATTGCCGATGCCTGATGCTCCGGATGGCCCTGGTGGGGCACCATAGGGTGACGACGTCTCGAAGCCATTCAATTGCGCGGAGGTATACATTTGGGGCGGCTGGGTGGAGACGGTGGTGTCAGGTCGATTGTTGTAATGGTTCGACATCTGGCTGGGGTTGAGGTAGGATGGTTGTTCTTTATGCATGGCGAATGAGTCAATGTAGTGACGCGATCGCGACTGGGGCGATGATCCGAAATAGAATATCCAGACGACCTGGAGAGAAACCTGTTAGAGTGGCTTGCTCACACTCAGGAGGCGCAACAAGCAGACCATACATTTACGATGGAGAGAAGGATAAATCCAGCGCCCGCGGCTTCGTTCGACCCGGATTGCTTTTTCAATAAACCATCGGCGGCGAAGGTGGTAAAGGCAAAACCTGCGGAGACATATCCAACAACCTGTGATCAACACCCGCATCAGTGAAACATGCCTACAACATCGCTATAGACCCCAAACCTACCGCGGTGCTATAGATATGGGTCGTTGCCGTTGCCATCACGTACGCGATGCCAACGATACAAAGGAACATATAGACAAGGTTCCACCAGTAGATAGGAGGGAAGGAGTCGCGGATAGAGGATATAATCGCAGAAACGAACGCAATCAACCATGCGAGCTAATGACAGTATGGAGTTAGCCTTTGCCCATCTTCGCTGTCTGTCGACCATTGAGATTCATACCAACGATATGGAGACCGATGCCAAGGCAAAGGGGTCCCCGAACAGGTTATCCAGGCGAATTCGCGGCATTGTGGCTCGTCGCCGATCGGGAAAGGGAGGGGCCTTGCGGAGAGATGGAGAGTAAGTTGATGGTCGAGTCACCATCAAAGCGATGTGAGTGGGATCGTGGTTCTGCGTCGAGGAATGAATTCAGTGCAGTGTAACCCCCCACCACAGTTGTTTCCTATCAATGGTTTCCGAACCGTGTATTCCGTGACGATGGCTTCGTGGTGACCGGTTCGAGAGGTTATATCGTAGAGATGGTCGTATCGGCCGTCGACGATTTACTGATCGTGGCAATGTTATTGATGAAGTGAATCACAGACTGAGGCTTTGAGGGCGCTGGCAAGCCGTGACATGGAGAGGGTGGGAGCTGCGCTGAAACCTGAGACTGTTGAGCATCCAGCTAGTGCTCCGAATGACAAGATCAGGCCGTAGGTTTGGGGCGATGTCGGCTCAGAGCGATGTTCACAGGAAGTTGGGTGGGAATATCGCAGAAGGTATACAGCGCCAGGCTGGTCAGGCGAGGGGAAGCAAAGGCAAAAACAAGTTGAAAAGGGTCGGAAGAGAAAAAGAACGACGACTCTGGATGAGCGGGCTGGGGTAAGAAGTGTAAGAACAGAACTGGAATGAATGGATGAAACGAGAGACTGGGAGAGAAGAGGTGGATGTGATTGTTGATTGATGATGTGGTGAGAAGGCTGAGTTTCTGCCGGTTTGTTAACAGACGAGTTAAGGGCCACCAAAACAATCAGTGGAAATTATTAACCACAGAATCAATAAAGCGAGCCGTGAGCCAGACACTGAGAAGCGACCGGAGTTCCAACAAGTGAGAAAAAATAAAATCAAATAAAATCCACAAAAGACTCACTCAGGCCTGCGAAAAGACGCTTCACCTGGGGCCCCCTTTCGCGCATCCCTACAGACACAACACATCGTTCTGGCCCGGCATCATCGGCTACGACTTTTGACATTGACAAGGACGGGAAGCCATGTCTGAAGAAACACTGGATGAAGGCATGATGCCACAGATTGAAGCTGTACTACGATCATCCAGCACACAGTAATTAGATTTCCAACCATCCGGCTATCCATATGAAGCCCTTTTCGAATATCACAACATCGCCATCGACACACTCCTCCCAGTCAAAAGGGCTAGAATAACTACTGGACTCTCACACTAGCCCGCTCCACAGCGCATTTCTTGACTGGCAGCTTCATCGAAGACTCGAGCTTCGAAATTCACTGACAGGTCTAAATTTAGGGCTGCATCATGCCATGCCTGACATCTGCCTCGATGCATCTCAGCATCGAGCAATTGTTAGACGAGCAGACATGTAAAATCCAAACCCGATCCTCTTTCCAAAGTCGCGTTCTGAAACATACATGCAGCAACATCTCTTTCCCATCTCTCCCGCCCTGCTCACACCCCTGGCCAAAGAAAGCAGAGAGAAGGCCCAAAAGGAAAAAGGGGAGGGGGGAGGAGAAGGGGAATTCTCGGCCCCTCCTCTTGCTCCCTGTACAGTCGAAACAAGACGATTTCAGAGCACGACGACCGCTTGTCCCCTGCGTCCGCACGTCCGCTGAGGAGCAAAGGCCGTTGGAATGATCACCCCTGGCAACTAGTTTCGCGTGCAGATGGGGCGGTTTCAGGTTGAGCAACTGACATATCAAGATGCACGGTGAGATTAAAAAGAGGCCGCTTTTGCAGAAAAAAAAAAGGGAAAAGCCAGCTTGCACGGGAAAACGAGATGCACACACGTTGGAAGCAGGAACAATTAACAAGTACGCGAACGGGCGTCCGGGAGTCGATGCACACGACACTTCTTGTTCCTAGTATCTTAACGCGTGCGAGGTTTTGGACAGGAGAAAGACTGGATATCTAGTTGCTTCCTCGCACCATCGACCCCTGTAACGTAAAATGCATATTCCATACTATACAGGCCGCTCTCCCAAATTCGCCGGTCAGAAATTTGATGATGCCCCTCATCCAAATGCAAATCCCATCCAGATTCTTCCGTAAACGTCTTTTTGTTCATTCTCGCATTAATCCGTGGATCTCGAAAACTCTGCCCTTCCCACCCAAAGAGCTCCCCTTGTTCCAGATCCTCGTCGAGTCCCACGGTTCACCAAGTTTCAGGCACACCAATCGTTGACGTTTGCGAGAAATATCATAATCTTCTTGATGCCCTCCATCGTTAAGGCAGGGATATCGTCATCAAGGCCATGTCATGCTCCCATCCGTAACACTGCTCTTGAACGATTCGAGTTACGAACCAGTTCGTTATTTGTTTCACCATCCTCGTTTGAGAAAATCCCAAAAGAGACCATCAACTAGAAAAAACTGCCCAGTTCAGTAATGCCGATTCCCAAGTTAGCATAGCAACAGTAAATCTCAAACGCACCTTTTTTCCCAAACAGTAACATCCACCCCGTCTCTCGACGCGATATCACAACGCCCAGCGTAGAATCGAAATCTCCAAATCACCCTCTCCATCCCAACGCACTCACTCCTCCCTCGCCATCCTCCCCTCCAACCTCCTCACCTCCCTCTCCGCCATCCTCACCCTCTCCTCCCACTCCCCCCAAACCTCCCCACCCCCAACAATCCCCACCTCCATCCACCTCTTCATCAACAGCGCACTCCGCGCCCTCAGCTCCGCCAATTCACCCGCCTGCCTCTCCTCCTCCCGCAGCGCCCGATCGATCCGCGGCTGGAGCTCGATCAGGCTCGTCGACGCTTTGGCCGGTGGAATGGGCAGGTCCTGCAGCGAGCTGAGTCGCGAAGCGGTTTCGGGAAAGGCTGTGGCGTAGGAGAGGACGATTGAGGCGAGGGATTGGGTGGACAGGGTGCTGGGAACGGTGGACGGATCGGAGCTCTGGAAGAGATCGGGGTAACGAGAATCTATTTTGGGAGAAATGGCCCCCCGAGGTTTTAGCATATAATAAATAGACCATGTAAATTCGCGGAGAACTCTCTTTGAGAGGAAAAATCAAGCAAAAAGGGCGAATCAACGAAGACGCCCTTTTTAACAAAAAAGCGTCCTCCTAACCGGGGAATGATGATGGAACAAGTCCCTTACAGAGCTTCAACACATCCTGCACCGCAGGAACCTTTGTGCTCAACACCCTCAGCTCGCGCTCCAACCCAGCCAGACGCGCCGCGACCGACTCCCTCGCCGATGCAGGTGGCCCGGGAAGCCGCTCCGGCTCACCGGTCCAGCTCGTGCCTCCGGTCAAAAGGTATTCGATCCTGCGGAGTCGCGTCTCCAGAAGCTCGATTGTGTCGGCGGCCGTGGAGGTGATCGTATCTGGAATGTCCGTGTCCATGGGTAACCGGGGGGAATAATGTATCGAAATGACTTGACGATGTCCTTTTTTGTTTTTTTGGCTGCTTTGAGTGTTGTGCTGTTGGCTACTGTTGATTTCCCTTTGACGATCAGCTTGGAGAAAGTCCGGGGATTGCCGATCCAGCTTAGGCTGCTCAACCAGCCAACGGCCTCCAAGCAGAGCTTTTCCCAGCGACGAATAATGAGGTTATCCGAAACCTATTATTAACGAATAGATTGAACTTGTTACTCCGTAGTTATAATTGATTTGAGTCCTGCTCAACAAAACGATACTACTCCGTACCATTAAACCCAATGCATAATCCCTCTAACCATACAAGTTTGCTTCCCATCCCCCGAGACGTTGAAATTGATACAGTAGACTATCAGCCCTAGAATGCTCATGCTGCCGGAGGAACACGGCGGTCAGGTTCAATATTCATTTCTTCTTCTCCCCCGCCCTCCTGCCCCTGCCCCTCGTCCTCCTCCTCGATATAGTTCAGTTCACTACTCGAAGCGCTTCTTAGATCAATATCCTCGACGAATTCTTCTGTGACGCCGTCCTGGAATTCCTTTAACTCCTTTTCAAATCGCACCTGCATTCGCCTAATTTCGTCCTCGAAAGCTTGGTTGTCGGCATCAAGAAAAGCCTAACGCCAACGACGTCAGTCCCAAATCAAGTGGTCAATGGGTTAAACCCTTACCTGCAAGGGTTCTGGCAGCTCAGCTCCTTCATACTGGACTGCATCTTCGTTAGCGTAAACGAGAAGGACCGAAGAATGATCTTCTTTGGCCGCCTGAAGCACTTCGAGTTCACGCGCCGGAGTAATAGTGTACCCATATGGTTCCTGATGGTTAGGTATGAGTATCCTCGGCTTCGTTCTATCAAGAAGATAACTGCTTCCGTCCGATCTTGACACCCTTAAGGGGTCCTGAATGGGTCGGTGTGTGGTGTTCTTCCCATCTTCTACAGAAAAACTTATCCGCCACCACTCCCATTCATTTTCGAAGGTCATATCTGGGAATATATCTCTCATGTTCTTCGCGCCTGGGACCCGTTTTAAAACATACATGAGGTGCGGATGAGTACTCACTCCACGTAAAGTATATTTGTGGTGAGGTGGTTTCTCGCTGTCATCGTCCTTCTCCGTCAGGCTCTTAGAAAATCGTTTAAGGCTCTCCTTCACCTGCTGTTCTTTCTGAGATAACGCTGTGTAAATTTCGTTAGCAACGTGGGATACAACTTCCAACCAGAGCAATAAGAAAGGAAATTACTTACTGGCCAGTCTTCGGTCGATTTTCTCCGCGAGAGATTTCAAGTCGCCCACCAGTTTCTCTGTTTCTTCAGCCGTAAGGATAGTTTCCCATGTGTCATCGCTGCTGTCAGCGGATGTGTCGGTACGAGTGCCTTTCACGACCTTGTTTGTGCCGGCAATTGCGTTTTCCAAAAGAGTCTTGAAGGGCGTGGCTTGGCCCCCTGGAAGTATAGCAGTTGAATAATCCTCAATTAGATCTTTCAGTTTCTCTAAATCAGCTTCAGCATCTAGTCGACGTTCTCGTAGCTCTTGAACAAAACCTTGATTCGCTTCTAGATAGCGGTCGGGATACCAAGTTGCGGGGATCTTCACTCCAACGGGTCGAGTGGTTTTGCCGCTAACCCTCAAACGCATGGTAAAAATGGGAGCAATCTTTCCTAGCCATGTGCTGTGAGGCTTGTTTGGCGGGGTTCCCTGCCAGAGGAAGTTGTCAATAACATCATATAGAGTCTCATTTTCGTCAGGTTCGAACTCCATCTCCGCAACACAAAAAGGGAACCGGGAGATCTGTGGCTGTGGGTTACTAGATTTGGTGAGCAAGGTTGACTCAAAGAGGTTGCTACTGGGTTGGTTTCGATTCTTTAAAAAGGCTTCTCGTTGCCATTGTTCTAAGAACTCTGGCAATACTTTCTCGGGACGATTTCGGCCGGACGTTAGGATGTCGACGAGAGAGGTTATTGTTCCAAATGCACGAGTGGTGCCATCCAAAAAAGCCATTAACCGTTGCGCTTCCACGAACACTTTATCAGAGTTCCTGGACTGACTGTCATTGCCAGTCGGGGGGGTATCAATTGGCTCTCCGTTCCACCAAAATGGATGGTGACCATAATCGGGTATCAGCCGATTCCTTGAGATAAACGCCTCCCTCGATAATGGAATAGAATGAAGTATGGTGATGCAAGCTCCAAGATATTCAGCCGATGCCAGAGGACGGCAGAACGCAGGAAAGCCATTCTCTCTTTTCCGCTCCTCAGGGTCTGGGTGCATACATGGTTGCCTGGGTGTAGGGTCGTTGTACGTAGTCATAGCCCACGATGCATTATCATAGTAATCACGGTTGGCAGGGCCGAATTGAGTACCACGAGCGCTTACAACTCCAGACTCTTGGCCAGCACGATCAAAGCTGCGACTCAGGGACGCCGCCACGGCCTGTTGCATGTCATGCTCCTCGCGTTCTTCCAGTGTCATTTTGTGTTGGCTTTGTGCTAGAGGCAGATCAATAGACGAGACTTGTATCCTGTGGGAAAAGTCCTTACGATAAGACGCTGCCCCGTCGGTTTCCTGTGCTCTGACTCTCTCAAGTGCCGAACGGTGGCCTATTCGTGATGGCGGGCGTGACGGAGGAGCTGTGTAGCTATCGCCCCGGTCGATATTGAATGATTCTAAGCGCATCACAGAAATTAGAAAGATCGATACAAGTAGTGATGTGAGGATCAAATCATGACGCGGACAGGGTGGACGACGCTCTCACTTTGAACATTCTCGGTCGGATAGCCAGGAGGTTTTGGCTCTGGCTCCGAGCTCACCGGCCATTGATTCTAATGGAACGGGTTGTCAGCTAAGTTTTTGATGGGAAACCGCCGGAACGGATAGGCTGCTGCTCACCTGGGGTGGTTGACCACTATTACTTTCAAAAAAGGCATTGAGGGCTTGATTCGCATCGAGATTGTTTGCCTGCCAGGTAGACAAGACGTCAGCCTTATAAATTTCTCATTTCAATGATTGGAGAGATCGCAACAATCTCCAAGGCATGTTGACCAGTCCATCGGGGGCGGCGGGGAGTCGATGTTGTCATTTCGGCTTACCTGGAGGAGACTGGTTGCATGGTCCCTGGTTGTCTTTGTGATGGCAACAAATTCATTGATGGCATCGTCCGAAGGGACCTGAGGCATATCTGGCATGTTTTCGAGGGATCTCACTAGAGGGGCTGCTAGTTAACGGACTCAACGCTCAAGCTCTGAGTTGACTGGACGGTGCCGCAGCGGCGTCATAGGCCTTGGCGGGGAGCTGCCTCTGATGAGTTATAGTTGCTTAAAATGTTGACGCTTTCCCAAGTTGAGGAGTTGCCACTGCGGTCCTTCTTTCAACTACTGCGATTGTCCTCTTCGTCCAGCTGCGGGTAGGCCGGTGCCTGGTGATGATGATCCCTCCCCTCACAGCAGTGCTCTCGGCCAAATTTGCTCTTCTAAGCCATGCAGTGTCAGGCTCAGGAGAAACTGATGTAGAATATCAACAGAGCCTAGAGAGCTTGCTTTGTACAACAAAAATATATATTAAAGGAATTGCAGTTCTCTCAAATCATGGCCATCCTCACTCTTCACCGAGTCACTCAAATGCACGCTGTCAAAAGACAAACAAAAGGCAAGTCACGCTACAATATGCCATTAACATATACACTGAACGTGCACTAGGTTACAATGTCTGGTTAATTTGAGCATTTGAAGCATTTCAATCATGCTCTGGGGTAGATTGGCATCTGATTCCTTCCACCATCTGCCATCTGGAAAAATGTCTTCAGCCAGTTGAGATGAAAGGCAAGCCATGAGGCTTCCAGGCAAAATATTTTTCAGGCACAGAAACGTGCCAAGCCGCCAAACCTTCCCCCACACTCCGCAACGAAGGCTCAAGAGCAACTCGGGGCAAATCCCCGCAACGAGCGGACCTTCAGCGCCGACACACAAAGGCCTCGGGTGTAAGGAGACAATGGTTGCTGGTCGATGCCTGACCGTGTCCTTTTGGTGTCTGTTGTGGAAGCAAAGCCTCTGTTCCTGGATTCCAACTCTCTGACGACGGCCGGTTTCTTGCTCAATTGCCTGGAGTCAAATCCGCTTCGGGAACGCTCTGCTCAATGCCTCGATCTCGCCTTTGGAGGCTGCCACGGGTCGGCAGGGCTCCGATTTCTTCTCTGAGAAGCGGGATACAGCTGAGAGGCTTGCTTACGCAAAGCTACGCACGCGGCCCGTCCCAGGTCAGTGACATGCCCAATGCCTCCTGCTACCCCAGAAAGCTAATTGTGACCGTGGTTGCTGCAATCTTGCATGCACGCTTAGCCCATTTAGCCTCCGTTATTCGAACAAACAGTTGGTGATCATTTTGCGAGTGTCGTGAGTAGGCATGGGGATAGAACAGCGTGGGTTCTTTGGGTTCCCGCCCTTGCGACTCGTTTGAGCGCTGACTCGGTGGATCTAGTGTTGTCTCAAGGCACCAAAAACAACGGCTCACTTACCACGAGCTCGACTTGAAGAGCAACTCTTTGGCACGCGGGCTGGCATCAATAGGCGTTAGCAAGGGAGACCGTGTGGCGATATCGTTGGGGAATGGTATTGAATACGCGGTGGTGTGTTTCGCTGTCATTCCTCTGGGAACATTGCGCTCACCAAATGTTTGTGGATAGGCTACCTATGCGCTCTTTAAGCTAGGAGCAGTGCTGGTAAGTATGCCCCAGATGACTTGAGCTTGGAAAGCATGGATTGGGGTTAACAGTGCACGCTGGTCCAGGTTCCGTTAAACCCCAACTTCAACACCACCCAGGTTGCCGCCGCGCTGAGCCACCTGTCCGCTACACATTTGATTATAAGCACCGAGGCCAATTTACCGCGACGAGAGCCCCGATCAAACTTGCCCCTTCTTTCGCAGATCGTGCCAAACCTCAGTAGCGGCAAACTGCAGTCGGTGCTGGTCCCTTCACTCAAACACATTGTCCTTGTTCAGAACGACGGTGGTCGAGTCGATACATCCTCCTTTGCATGCACCACACCCTTCACGTCAATATTATCCGAACTCGCACCAGATCTGCGCCCTTTGCCGCCGCAAGGCCTCGATCCACACGATATCGTGAACATACAGTTCACTTCGGGCACCACGTCCATGCCAAAGGCAGCTTGTCTGTCGCACCGCTCCATCCTAAACAACGGCGCTCAAATCGGAGACCGCATGCGCCTGACGCCTCAAGATGTAGTCTGTTGCCCACCTCCTCTGTTCCATTGCTTTGGATGCATTCTAGGATACATGGCGACTGCAACCCATGGTTCTGCGATCGTATTCCCGTCGGAATCATTCAACGCGGTTGCTACACTAAAAGCAGTGCAGGAAGAAAAGTGCACTGCACTCTACGGCGTCCCAACCATGTTTGTCGAAGAATTAGAGTTACTAGCAAATGGAACCGTCCCATACGAGGGCTTCGAGCATTTACGAACGGGCATCGCCGCCGGCAGTAGTATTCCCGCGGAGTTGATGAAGAAGCTTCACAAGACCTTGAATTTAACAGAGTTAACCATCTGTTACGGGATGACGGAGACCAGCCCCGTCTCTTGCATGACCACGACAGACGATCCAATCGACAAGCGCATAAACACTGTAGGTCGTTTGATGCCCCATGTGGAAGCGAAAGTCGTCGCGCCGGGTGACCATAGCAAAATCCTTCCTGTCGGGTCCAAGGGAGAGCTGGTTGTGAGCGGCTATTCGGTCATGAAAGAATACTGGGGCGCTCCGGAACAAACAGCCGCAGCCATGAAAGCTGATGATGATGGTAAAATCTGGATGCACGTAAGTTGCTTCCACTTTCTTCACGGCATGGAACTGGGCTGACAGGATGCTAATCCATTCGATAGACCGGAGATGAGGCGTTGATGTCGGCAGACGGATACGTGAGCATCACGGGTCGAATCAAAGATTTGATTATCCGTGGCGGGGAGAATATTCACCCATTAGAAATTGAAAATTGCCTTTTCGCCCATCCCGGCGTTTCGAACGTATCCGTGGTGGGAGTACCGGACCAGAGGTATGGAGAAGTCGTTGCTGCATTTGTTGTTGCTCGAGAAGAGGGAGAAAAGAGAGTCACAGCCGACGAAATCAGGTCCTGGGTGCGAGGAAATCTCAGTAACCATCTCGGTAAGTTTCTATTGTCCCGTTTTCGTTTCTCTCGCCGCTATCCTCGTCGTCGAGCGGTCTCTAATGGTGCGATTTTTCGATATCGTGCTGCATACGCCAAGAGCTCAATTCTGTGATGCCGGGTGCTTGGGATGCTTGTTTTTGCTTACTTTCACGTTCTGCGCTCTGCCTTTGCTTTCTTTTTCGTCCTTTCTTTTTCCTTCCCGTACGAAATTCGGTTTCGTATTGATCCTTCGGCGTGCAGCCGCTTTGCACTCCAAAACCGCAAGACTTCCCTCGCGTCTTGAAAACTTTCTCCATCTCATGTCATTCCCGGTATCGTTAAGTTACCATACTGTCACCCTCTTTCCCTTGCGGTTGGGCCCGTTCTCAAGCGCGATCTTTCGTTAAGCTCGGTTCATGCCAACTTTGGAGGCATCTCGATTCCAGGAATCAGAAGAGCCTTTGGGCAGTACTTTCACATAGGAGTGGGTTACCAAGCCTCGAGCCTCGTCGATACGAACCTTGTGGACCGCTTGTATGGCACGCACGTAAGCCACGCAGAGGCACTCGGAAGACTTTGAATCTGTTGTTGCTTTGATAGTCCCGCCTGCGATCAGTCCCCTCTCACGATGGCACCTCGCAATCTCGTTCGAAGATGGGCCAACCCAGCTCCTGGCTGTCACCTGTCTCTTCAATCTGAATTTTATCTCGACACACGTGCGGTTTGGAGCTTGTTCAAGTGGTTACACAGCAAGCTCGCCCTGTCCACCCTTCACACCCCGTTGCAGTTGCAGAAAGTCTAATGGCACGGACCAGCAAGTTGCATTCCCAGCGCTGGTTTATCATTATTTGTTTTGACTGCCACAAGCACATGTACCTTGGCGGACGCTCGTCCTCACCCTTTCTATTTTGACGCTTCCGTGCCACCCCGCTTTGCCCCCAAGGGAGTGTGCTTGTGTTCTTCGGCGGCGAGCAGGAGAGATCACCGAGTCCCAAGTCCTGGAGTTGCTAACACTGCTTTCTTTTCTTCGCATTATAGTTCCGAAATTCGTGTTTTACTTGGATGAAGCCGAATTCCCAAAGACAGCTAGCGGCAAAATCCAAAAATTCATTCTGCGTGAGAAAGCAATCTCGTTGCTAAGGGACGAACGGAACCAAGAAGGATAAAATTAACACCATGACGATTATGCAGCAGCGGTGAGGGGGAGAAGCTGATGTAAAATGGGAGAGCTGAGCAGCTTTTTCGTTTATTCTCGGCTGGTGGCGTCCGTGGACACGAAAGGGCAAACGTGGACTTCATCACAAGACGCAACGTCGATGAGCGGGGATGGAGAGACAAGCATAGTTAGCTTTCAGGTTACATCCAGGATATGCTTGTACATAGATACACATTGATCTTTTGGAATACCAAATTGCTCGAAAGCAAGCCGTTATAGCCTGTCATTTCCCCCACCATTTGCTATTTTAGTTCTCAGCCTCCAAGATGGATGAATTGCGTTTCCTATACTCCGTAGTATCAAATTACCGTTCCGCAAAAAAACCCATGATGTCGTCGGATGAGCCTGAGTTAAAAGCATCCTTCATTAGTTGGGAACATATTTTCGTATTTCCCGTCGTATTATTGAGATCTTGCTATTTATCCTTGCCAGGTACTCTCCATCAAGCTATAAACCCCTCCCCCGTTTTTCCTACTACTTATCTCGAAAATAAATGACGACAGACGAAACGTTCTTGGGGGGAAACCCCCTTAATATCGAGAGCTTCGCTTTTTGTTGTTTTTTTTTCTCCGGTAATTCTCCGGCGGATGCGAGAACGGGGGGTGCCCTAGAATAGATGGGGAGAAATTATGAATTTCGGATTCTTGGTTTATTCCTTGGGAGGCAGACGGAGTTATGATACAATATAATGCTACGTGGCGAGGAATGATGTATGAGTGTTCTAGCTATGTTGATTTCAGCCTTATACCAGGAAGTAGTTTGCCCTGATAAACTGGTAGGAGGGGGAGGGTTTCATTGGGATGATAACTATACTTGTGGTGTGGCCTGGCGATGAGCCTCTCTTGTTGTTGAAGGCTGAATCAAGGCTGATCTCCAGCTGGTGGCGAACTAGAGAGGTGAAACTACGTATTGTTTTTTGAGATTTTGCTGAGCTGTAGAAAGTCGAAGCTGGTGCCTGATTGTCTTTAAGTTGTTGGGAGCTGAGATAATATGGACATGCCAAATGTAGCAGTGAATCTGTCATCTCAAGCTTTGCCGTAATGAGCATGAATCCAAGTAAATAGGTAACCGTCAAATGGTGAAAGTCTTGTTTCTAATTTCCCTAATTCAAATCGAAGTGAAGTAAGTGCCTTTCATCATCTAGATCCGTAGAAAGGGCCCAATGGTCCATGGGACGCCGTCGGCCAATTCTCAAATCCAAACGAGGGCAGAATATCCGAATATCCTTCTTGACTTCCAGGTAAGGAACCCGCCCGGAAGATGATGTTCGGTGAATCAAACGAGGCCACCAAGGAGCATCCGGGGATCAAACGGCGAAACTGTTGATACTGTACCACCCTGCACACGTCTCGCGAATCTCACGTCGGTATCTTGCCAGTTCCTGCGCTGAGAATGCTTTTGGGCACTGTGTGTAAAAAAAAATGAAACAACTTGTGCAGGGCGCAAGAATAGTATTCTGGATGATCATATCTGCCATGTCACTGCGCGCATGCCAGACAGGGAGCTTGCTGCCTGACGTTCAAAATAATTTTGAACCTCGACTTTTCAAATGCCCAATCCATGAACTCCTTCGATGCCGGTTCAAACGGTTTGAAAATCAAAATATGTCTAGCCATCCAGACGGAACAATACCCATCTCGGACCCTCAAGACATCTGCATTGTACTGAAACTCCGCTTGGCGAAGTGTCCAAGCGCTCGCGGTGAAGTCACCTTCTGAACCACTTTTTATTTGTCGTTCTTGTTTCGGGAGCGGTGGACGGTGATCAAAGGGTCTTCAGCAATCGCATCGCTGGTTACCCATCCTGCTGGAGTTGAATCGCTCACAGGTTCTTTTCGCCCCCTGGAACTCTTGCCCTAGTGACGCCATCATCTGACATTCAAGGTTCAGCAGTTGCGTGCATAAAACCTCATGTTCCTGTTGATGTAACTAGCCCGAGTTGGTCGAATGAAAACCAGTGTCCATCCGCGGAAATGCGACAGCACTGACGGCGTTTCAACGTCCGGTTGGTTGGCAGCCAGGCAAAAAAGGTTAGGGTTCAAGAAGGGCCGCGGAATCGCCAGGTTGGGGTGAATGGTTGAGTTCAGATTACCAGCAATCATAATAATGGAGAACGAGGAGTTCGGAGACACCGTCGCACCGACATTATGAGGCTCTAGTATCGACACCCGAGGTCGATTCGATCCCCTCTCAAACGGCGATGACGATGGACCCGATTGTAGAAAGGTTTCTTCGCTTGGAAAGGCTTCTCTTTTGTTGTTGAATGATCGAGTTAACTGTGGATCACCACTAACCTCAAAACTTCAAAAACTTCCCCAGATCCAAATCTCGCCAACAAGCAACAAACAATCACTTTATTCAAAACACACGCATTCAGAAACGGCAAATCCCTTGTCACCTGGTCATCCATCAAAAAGAGACTGGTCTGGACTCAAGTTCTTCTTCTATGAGTTTGCAGTTCTCTCTATCTGCACACGACTCGTTTCTTCTCCTCCTCGCCCTTGCGAATCCCATACAAGCAAGAGGGCACGTGGCGCTCACAGTCCGTTTGTCCCCAAGAAGACAAGCCATTGATGTTCGTCCAGTATGCAAGCAAGCCGCGCTTGTGGGGCCTTGGCTGACAGTCCACTGCATGGAGGACGGACGGGTTTCAAATTCGGGGTCTGTGCTCTGGGTCGCTGGGGCGGATCCGACTTCTGGGGTTCGAACTCAGCGAGGAATTTAGAACAAACTACCACCAATTAGCATGATATCAAGAGGAATGACTCGCAAGGGCCGAGCTCCGTTGACGGGACAATGGGTCGTTGGCCACTTTCTCGCTGGCGTTGAGAGTTCCTCGGAGCGCTGGAAATGCCGATGTTACATAATCAAGGGATTCCGCCTAGCTGCAAGGGGCAAGACTCTAGAAACACTCGATCGAAGCTCAGGCTATCGCGGCTCTGGCTCTGATTGGCTGGTCCGGCAGTGTGACCGTATGTAATGTTCCGTAACGCAGTTTTGAGTTGAAACCGGCCACGTGCATCACGTGACGCAGCTAATCCGAGCGACACTAGAAGCCGAAGATGGAGCCTTTACGGTTTAGTGGGGGGGATGAGAAAAATGACGCACTGGGCCTGGTGTGCCGAGAGGAGCAAGCGGTCCAGTCAGCCTCGCTGCCCGTCAGTCTGTAATGCGCGGTATCGGTGGGTTTGGCGTGTGGTCATCCGCCGGTATCCTGTAATCAACCCGAGTGAGGCAGTCACTAAAATGAGGCGTGACCTGCAACGTTGCCAATGGCTTGAGGAGCCTGGATATAAATATCTGAAGCATTGCTTGCGTTGGATAGGCCAACAAACATTTTCCTCCTCTCAAACCGGGCCACGCCATTTGTTTCAAAGCAAGTTCACCTGTTGAGATGACGCGTGGAACGTACTGAATTTCATGAAACGGTAAAGCGACAAAAAACTATGGGGCCTGAATGATGGTCAAATCCACGCCCAAAGCAGCTTCAGCTCACTCCAGATCCTAGGGGGTGGGACGCATCTGGCGCTGCAAGAACCCTGGCCGACTGCGGGAAATCAGGAATGCTAGGATGGTTGTGCAACCGTGTGAGGATTGACATTGCGGACATTTGTTGTTCACTGCCTTTGGAGTTCTTGTTGATTTGTATTATTTAGCTTTTGTCCCTTCGGTGATTCATTTTCACAGTTGTGTTGACAGAGCTTTCAATAATACAGAGTACCGCGTGAAGCAAACTCTGGAGAGATGTATCAAATCCAGTGAATTGGCTCACCGAGCTAGAATGCTTGTTCTTAGCTTGGGTATTGAAATAGCGACGAGAGGCGACGATCGGAATCGATGGGGTCCAGGCTTTGACTTCCAGATGGCGACCGCTTGGAGATGAATCTTTCCCCGCGTCCCGGATTCCTGTGGGTTAGGTAACTAGCTATATTTGGAACGTCGAGGGAGTGCAAGATATCTCTTCTTTTCTGAAAAGTCTCTCACATCAAGAAACAGCTTCGATCTCTCGAAAGTTTGGTTTTGGATCGACTTCACATCGCCTTGGCTGACAGCTTGGCAAGGTGTGACATGCAGAAATCTTTTGGCAGATTTAGGGGGATTCCAAGGGGTTTTCTTTTGACTGCTGATATTCTCCCAACATGTGTGGATGCTTGTCTGTCTGTAAAGAAGTATTTGTATGTAATCTTCATATGCTGATTCACGCGCGCGCGCTGGCAGAAGTAGTGATGGTTGATAACAGCTACCAACAAGGGTCAAATTGCCCCCGCAAACAACTGGCCAATTTGCATTAGCTGTGGGTGACTTGTCATGGATTGGTGAGGGTGAAGCTTCATGTTGCGAATGGACACAAGATGCAGATCTTCGGCCCTCCTCAACCCCGACAATTGCATGGCCACTCTGGATTCAGCATTATCCCCAGACGGAATTTGCGTCCCGTGTCTCTTGGAATCCGAAAAAGGTCGCTTGATTTGCTCAAAAAGAGGAAAGGAGAAGAATTAGCGGTGAGTGACAGACAAAATAATCCATTTTCGTGTGGTTGTGTGGTTGTGTGGTTGTGTGGTTCTGGGGATAGCTGCCGCTTGGAATCGGAAAGCCATGATCCAGGCAAAGAAGGTTCCCAGGTCAGGCCTCTTGGTGGGCCATGGAGGACTGCCCACGAGAGCAAATTTGGGTATGGATGAGATCGAAAGAGATCCCGGCACCGCAATTCTCACCACTGGGAAGCAGAGCCGGCTGAGGGCGGCCGATATTTCGACAAGGGGCGTTGGCATAGCCTAGCTGAAGTGAGCTAGGAAGAAACAGGGGAAGGGAGCTCCTTTGATTGGCGTTTGGATGCGCGATTATTCGTCATGTTTGATGCGTGAGCAGTGCTTGAAGCTGGAGCTTGTGTACGGAGTACCCGCGATCGAACTGTGGCCGTTGTAGCCTGAGGAACAGATGTGTTGAAGTTTGAGGCTTGTCTTCTTGGACGGTGATAAGTTTCCAGAGCTTCTTGGTGAGCTCAGGAAAAAGGGGCCATGGCTCCTACATATCCCCTTGGCTTTAGAGACACAAGTATGCACACCTGCAACACAGGCTTTAAGCTCGTGTGAGACGTTACCTTTCTCGGATAGCTGCGACAAAAGCATGGGAGGTGGAGCACTAATCGGGAGCCGAGTGAAAGCTGCATTCTTGATTGATCTCAAGAGCGTTTTCGTGTTTCTTCTTGAGGGATAAAAGGGGCACATTTTGAGATAGTTTTATATCTCTCGTTCAGCAAACATAAGTCATGGTCTAATACACTCGATTAGGGTGGAAACCGTTGCACTGTTTGGTCGGTGCTTGTAGCTTTCCTTGCCCTTTTGCCAGGCCTGACCTGGTGTAATTCCACTCACTTGAAGCCAACGAGGATGGATTCAGTCTCCCGGATGAAAATGTCGATGACAGTGGTAACAAAACGTCACAGAACCCAGTATCTGGGTATTGTAATGTAAGCGGCGTAACGAATCAAGGCAAACAACCTCTCGGCACTGTTCTCCCGTGTCAAGAGACAGGCATCGCCCTTGAAAACCTTACCCCAAAAAAAGAATTATGAATGTGGGGATGCAAGTTCATCATCAACCCTAATCGTTAGCGCAAAGGGAAAATAGAGCGGCACTGATGATCGACCGCAAAACCGGATCCCAAGAGCAAGCCAAGATGGGTGGAAGTGCACTGGTGATCTTGGGATGGGGAGGAATGTTACCGCGTACGACGAAGAAAGGGCAACGAAACAGTTGAATGAAAGACAAGTGGCACTTGCTCGTGGCTTGGCTGTTGCTTCGGAATTCCGCTGCGGTCTCGTCATGGCTGAGGCGGAAGGCCAACATCGGGCGTGAGGCGTTTGAGGACAAAGCCAAGGCGACATAGCTACATCGACGGCCAGGAGAAGGGGAGGAAAAAGAAAATCCTTTTGGATCAGAGAGTGAAGACTATTTAAAGAGCCCACAAGCTGATCAAAAAGACCGAGTCGTATGTAGAGATCCACATCAGGGCGCTTATCTCCTCCACAAGAGTCTCCGTAGCCATCTCCTCCATCTTCTCGGCGGTACTTTTGGATGATTGACAAGGAGATATTCTCCTGAGCCAGAGGTGATTTGCCTGATCCCCTTTCGCGTTGAGCAGCGCCTGTTCTGTCCCTTGGTTTGTCCGCAGCGGAAGAACCAGGTTCGGTATCGCAACTCGGCCGATCTCTCATCCCGTTTCCAATTTCCTGGGAACCGATATCCCGAACAAGGCCCCAGCATCAACAGAAGGTGTCTTTTGAAGCGTGCACACTCGTCCTCATAAACCGACACGTTGGCTGCAGAAGGAGTGCAGTCAATACGACTATCTGCTCACAGCCGCCTTCTGGAGATCGTCAGTAATTACACCCACGGGTTTCCTTACAGGCCCGTACATAACTTTCGCCGTCTCGTCATAACTCTCGGCTAATTCTTGGAGTGCAAAGAGCGCAGACCGGCTTTTCTTCCCCTTTCAACCTGCTGAACGTTAACCCTCCCTAACGCCAGCGAACCCACCCGCTAATTCCTGGTACTTCCCCCTCCAAACACATCCTGTTGTTCCCTTGTCCCTCCGGATTCATCCTTCTTCCCTCTCGTCCTTCCTAACTTCCCGTGCCTCTGCCTCGCCTTGGCTATTATTCTGGTCGTCTCCGCCTTTTCTTGACCTCACCAGCTTTCTTCTTTTCTGATTTCAACCGTGGTCACCCCTCCACTCTTCGTCCTCCTCTTCACTTCCATGCATTGGTATTCTGTAGCGCCCTGTTCCATCTAAGCCCCCAGTCGCCCATTCGATGGATAAGATATCCCCACGAACCGTCTCCTTTGCCCTGCTACTTCTTCTCTCGGCTTCCGGCCGCGTCAGCTCGCTTCAAAGGCAGTAGTCTCCGCCTCGCTTGCCGTCTTGCTTAACAGTCTGGTGATCGAGAAAAACACGTCCCTCCTCCCGCTCCCGGTCTGATAACCTCGCCTCGAACCCTCGCCATATCGAAGTTCGTTTCTGTCACGCACGGCGTCTACTCGTTGAAACGCTATCCGTCCCGTGTGGAAAAAGAGCCGAGGGAAAGGAGTGAAATCGCGAGTGTCCCTGTTGGGTTGAAGGAACAATCGGGGATTGTGTTGTATGAAAAAGGTCGATCTGCTAGAAGCGGTGCTCAACAATGTCGAACCAGAGTGGATTGACCCATGCGATGTATCCGTCTTTCCCTGTTCCGGCTTCTGAGGGAGGCTCTGCCCAAGCATCGGGCTCAGCAAAACCCCTATCTTTAACCCTCACTCCAGGTCCCAGCCTTGAGATGCCTGAGCCCATTCGAGTCTCGGATCTTCCAGAGTCCATTCGTGAAGAAGACGAGGAAACTGCGAGCGAGCCACTCGAACCTATCACTCCACGAAGTGCCACGCCTCCTCCCGTGGACCGACCCCAAAAGTCAGCGACCGATCCGGCTGTCAGCAAAATGCACACTTCTCTTCGCCCTGCTTCTCTCCCTCACCCTTTGATTATTAACACAGACGCGTCTCCCGTTTCCACCTCTTCTCACCCAAAGTCCCCTGATCGTTCGTCAGCTGCGACTTCTCCTCGACGACGAATTCTGCGTTTGAACTCCATCAAATCGATGTTTCGCCGGAGAGACACTCCTCTTGTAGAAGAACAGACGTCCGAGCCGAAGAACCCGAGCCCAACGCACCCCAAATCCGGGATATTCCATTCCTTGCGCAAGAATTCCGTCAACTCCACCGCACAACATTCCTCAGCAAGTTCACAGTCCAGCTCGCCATCGTCCCCTGCCTCGCCATCCAGTACGCTAAACAGCGGTGTCCATTCGAGATTAGGGGTTTCAACGCCATCCGAGGGCATGTCGTTCAAGAGACCTACAAGATCAGCCACTGGATTGAGCCTCAGAGAACGAAGCAAAATCATATTTGCACCCACCCCGAGACCTCATCGGGAAGAGCCAAGGATACGGTCACCCAGCCTTGGTGATGTCGACAAACAACCAGAGCGTCCCGGATTTTCAATTCCTGCCGTTTCGGGAGCGGGACTGAAAGCTCGACGCATGAGTGCAAGTCTTCCTGATGGATTTGCCGTCGACACTTGCGAATTGAATGATGAATATACTAGCTCAAGCAGGGTTCCAGGCCGCAGAGGAAAAGAAATTGGGAAGGGTGCAACCGCAACTGTGAAAATCATGTTCCGCAAAGGTGGTGATAAAGACACCCCATACGCCGTGAAAGAGTTTAGGAAGCGTGGTCAAAAGGAAGATGAACAAGAGTACGTGCAGAAAGTGAAATCTGAGTTCAGCATCGCCAACAGTTTGAATCACCCAAACATCGTAGAGACCTTCCGGCTTTGCACGCACGGTGGAAGATGGAATCATGTGATGGAATACTGTTCCTACGGGCGAGCTCTTTTCATTGGTGCAAAAGGACTACCTCACGACTCGCGATAACCTTTGCTTTTTCAAGCAAATTGTGCGGGGTGTTGCGTACCTCCATGAGAATGGCATTGGCACACGTGATATCAAGGTTGGAGAACCTGGCTATTATCTGATGAAGGATACATCAAGATTACCGATTTCGGCGTATCTGAGTGTTCAGTGGGATACACCCGGGCCTGCGCTCTGCTGGTGGGGTATGTGGGAAGAACATGGGAGAGGTCCGCCTGTGTGCTCCGGGAATCTGTGGCAGCTTGCCTTATATCGCCCCCGAAGTGTTGGCAAAGAAAGGTACGCCCATCTTCGCTTTTTTCCGTCTTCGCTTCTTCGCTTGCTGACTGTGTTGCAGGTCATTATGACCCTCGACCTCTAGATATTTGGTCTTGTGCTATAGTATACCTTACACTCCATTACCGCGGAAACCCATGGCCTTCAGCCGATACTCGGAACCCAAATTATGCCCGTTTCCTCGCCGGATGGAAGGCTTTCCAGGATGTCGACCCTGAAGGACTCGTAACCGATGACAAGGCACCTGTTTGCGGTCCTGTGTTCAAAAGGTTGAACCATACTGGGATGAAACGACTCCTCCTTCGAATGCTACATCCAGACCCCAGTAAAAGGTTTACGGTCACCGAAGTTTTAAACGACCGGTTCTTCAAGACTATTGAATGCTGCTCTCCAGAGCGTGTCAAAGACCCTTCAGAAGAAGCCAACTGCATCGATGCAGCCGGCAAAGGAAGCTGCAAACTGGCCAGCAAGATGATGGTGCAAAAAATTCATCACCACTTTCCGCCGGAGAAGAAATATCTTCCGCAGCATCGGTTTGATATGGGAGAAGGATATTCATAACGATATTGATATAAATTTTCAAATTGGTCGTGCTGCCGGCCAAACCTTCTTTTTAATGGCTAAGTCGTTGAACCTGCGATTTAGAGCCCAAATTTTCATGTTTCCTTGTCAATATTTACCCACCGGATGGCTTTGTGGGTTTGGTCTGAGCACTTTGCAGCAAATTGTTACCGCGAGCATTGTCTCTTCTGCAGTACACCGGAGGTTGATTCTTGTGCATTTGATATGGTTGCGTTTCTTATTTTAGCATCATGGTTCATGCGCGCATGCAAATTCATCACTTTGTTGGCATTGCAGATATTACCAGCCAGTGTCTTTGAATCCACAGGTGTTGCTCTAGTTTCCTAGTTGCCTTCATAGAGCAGGTGCCTTTTCCCTTTTCTTCTTTGACAAAAGTTTCCCCTGGCCACTCTGGCACAATTACAATTACCCTTAGGCATACAAAATTTCTGTCAGAGGCGGCTTTTTGCTTGGAATGTTAAGTTTCACTTTTTTTGCCTTTTTCCCTCTTCATGTGAGTCTTCTGCATGTTTATTACTGGTTACGGATACTTGGGGTCAAAGGAGTGGTAAAATTCTAGGATTGCATTCTTCTGTCAATTTTCCTTGGGTGTGTTATATGTTTTTCTTCTCTCTGTTGCCTTTAACAGAGGCAGGTCATAATCATAATACTTGGATGGATCTGACTAGACAAGCTACGTCCATTATCTGGCGGTTTTGGCCCATGTGGTCTAATGGTATTGTTTGCCCACAGCTAATACATGTTTATGCAGTTTGGACTTGAATAACTTAATCCATTCATGATTTCTTGTCCGTGCAAGTTTCGGGGCGCATCCCAAACCTGTATCTTGCAATGGAAATGAAGCTGAAATATGTTTCTTGGCAGAGGATGAAAATTCCCTCTATTCTGAATACAACGAAAAATGATGCAACTCGGGATCCCGTTCTGTACGCCCGCTTTCTCTGGTTACGCACCGCTCTTCCTGCTTGGCGGGGCCCTGGTTTGACGAGATTGCCCTGTGGCTAAAGCGCTGTCGCGGCTGAGAGACGGCCGGGGCACCCACGTCGATGGTTGGAATTGACACGCCTAGCAACCAACTCTTCGATGTCTGGTGCCGCACACTGTGTGTGTAGTCATACGCTCTGCTGCGGAATGATATCACCAAGGTGTAGGTTTACGCAATGCACGGTGAATTTTGTGTGAGCAGCCCACAATTTTTTTTTTCTCTACTGTTTTCGTCCAGTTGTATTTGGCGCGAGTCGGAATAGCACTGGTGTGACGGAGGACAAGGGAGTGTTTGGGTTTCAAATTGTGAAGAAAAAGGTTGGAGGAGACGGGTGATTTCTGGGGCCTCCCTTGTGACCCCTTTGGCTCTTGGTCGAATGGGTTGCCTTTTGGGCGAAAGAGATCATTTCGCCGGATGGGAGGGAGGCCCTGGGCGGTTGAAACGCATGTGCTTTCATGGGGATGGAGTACTTGTCATGAAGATGAGACACGAACAGATGGTGGTAAAAGTTGCCAATGGATGAACTGTTAAAAAGGCGCTGTCATCTGGGCGCTTGTCCAGGTTTCATCAGGTCGTTCAGGGTAAAAAGAAACGAAAGTCTAACAACCTTATATCACCATTTTCTACGAAACTTCACTACTATGTATGGATTACCCCTATAACCGTCAGACGGGGGCCTACGGAGTATACGTATTCGGAATTTGCCAAGTCTGAAAATGGCACGAAGTGCTTTGAAGAGGCAGCGCGGTACTAGAAGATGGCTGCTTTTCCACCTGTTGCAACACAGCTGCGCTGACGGCCGATTCCAATAGACGTCTCGATTGAGAGCACGGTGGCATGTACGCAGCCGATTCCCATTTGTATGGTGTTCTCCCCCTCCCAACCCCCATACTGGGAAAACGAATGGGAATAACAATGCTGGAGCGGTTGCAGCACCAAAGGTGCACAGTAACATATATCACAGAAACGGCTTTGTTGCACCCCTTTTTTCAACTGTAGAGGCTATTCAGCAGGCCGAAAGACCGCTTGAAATGAGATCCTTCTGAAGCAGGGTGCGGTGTGTGGAGAAATAGATTCTATTGGGTCAACCATCACACGGGGAACCGCTCTTGAGGGCAGAAGATTCGTCTGCCGCCAAGTGAAACTGCAGTGTGCCTTGCGGCTCAGTGCGCAGTCAAACAAAACAATTCATAATGGCAACTTTCTTTGTAGACATGTTAGTCACTCTTGAAACGCTTTGACCCATGAACAACAATGCAAAGGGCAGTATATGAAAGAGAGGCTTATCAATATGGCTCGGCTGAAGATGTGTGGACGTCCTCCACAAGCATATGAACAACAACAAAAATCGCCAATAGTCCGCATAATGGGTCTCTGCAAAAGGGGCAGCAACATGAGACCACTGCATGAGGTTCGCCCGTCTGCCCAGACTGACAGGTTTCTGCTTGGCAAAGGCACTAATCGCAGATCATCAGTTAATAAGATGACAAGCAGCGCCAAGAGATGCTGCTTTGGGTCATTATTGCCCTGCGGGATCTTCATCTCCATGACACACAGCCCAGATCCAGAGGACACGGAAGGGAAAAGCAAACGCCCATCTGTCAAACAGGCACCGCCAAGGGTGCCGAGGGCACCACATTTGGCCCTCGAACGACAAATCGAGGGCTGCTGTTACGCAACCGGGGGCTCATCTCCAAGAATCAGCAGCACGTCTGCTTGGAGCATGCCGATTGGTTCCGTTGCCCTTCGTCACTCGCTGCGAGATCGAATGCCAAGAGAGGAGATTTGCGCCAAGACTTTCTCGAATGATGCACGCCGCGCTGCGTGCCAAGCCGGGGTGGAAGGGAGCAATCGACGGAAACAAGGGCGGGTGGGTGACACCGCCAAGATCCCGGCGCCCGTCGTGACTTTTGTCTTGTTGCGTTTCCTCTCCTGCCGTATGGTCATGTTTGCCAGTCAGACCGTATGGTACCAGACCGGTATTGAAACTGAACAGCGTCCGTCAATGACAAGCTGCGAACACTGCTGAATTTGATGCCACAATCGAGGCTGAGCTGCCGAGGTGCGTCGACGGGGCGCTGCGGTGTACCTATTGCAGATAATACGTGCTCCTTTGACGATGGTCTATACAGGATAGATGTTCATGTCTCAGCAAGAAGCATGACTGCAAATGCACCATGAGAGACCCTGGTCCCAAGCGCGCGCTCTCAACTAATCTAATCATGAGGTGAGCGCCCTTCTCAAGCTATTATCGCGCCTTCAATTTAATTGAGACAGATGCACTGCGCAACAAGTGCAAAGGAATATCCTCCCACTCTCCGAAGAGGTGTAACGAGAGCGGTGGGTGGATTATCCCCCCCCGCCCGGTGTTGGAAGCTGGGTGCGATTCGTGCTTTTCCGCTGTCTGGTAATATCAACGCTGTTAGATTTCTGGAACCATGGCCAGTCCGTCTTGACGGGTCATGGAGAAGGGCTCAAGGCGCCTTTTTAGGGACAAACAAGGTCTTACTGTACGTCTGGAATAGGCCTGCGGAAATTTGTGGCTCACGTAGAGTAGACGACAGCATTTCGCCAGCATCCTCACCCCCAAATTGTTGAGCAGGTAATCCCCAAGAATTCACGACTGCTGCGCGTCAAATCCTTTTAGAAGTCCTGAATACCGGTCTCTCCAAGTAATTCCACTTCCCCGTTCTCATCCTTTTCAACCAGCCATTCCGGTTCTTCTTCGTCAAAGTATTTCTCTTGCTCTTCGCTCAGGTCGTCATAATCATCGCATTCGTCAACAGCCGCATAGTCAAAATCCGAGTCCGCCCCTCTCAAGAACCTCAGTTCCATCTCCGATCTCCATCTTTCTTGTCCTTCTTCTCGCGTTTCTGGAATCTCATCTTCGTCTTCCGCTAGGATCTCGCCCTGCGGCCCACGGGTATAAGAAAAGGTTGCGTTTGGGTCAGGATGGGCCAATGCCTCCATTTTTAATTCCGCTCTCATCAGGTCCGCCTCCAACGCACCAGAGTAGCCTTTGGTGCGGCCTTCCTCCTCCCGTTCATTTGCTGTTTGGAACCGTCGAATCAAGCGATCGTAAAGCAGAGGATCTGAACATTTCGCAGTGACCCGGTTAGTAGCTTGGTTAGGCGAACCCGACTGACGGTGCGGTAGAAGAATAGAGATAACGTGCCAGCTAGCTCAAGCCCGGAAGAAAAATATTCTGGATGCAACTCCAGATATTTTTTCCGTCGGTTTTTGACTTGGACAGATGCGGGCGGGTGTATGGGCGGATTAGCAACAGTTTCCTCCTTCCCCTCAGGAAGGAATTTCTGGCGAGAAACAGCAAAAGCCCCTGTGTTCATTGGGAAATGTGGCATGGTGTATAGCTGCCTGAGGTGAGCTTAGACACAGGCATGACATCGTAACTAGTGGTCACTGTCTGCTGCCGAGTGCTTATCAGGTGGCAATGCTATTATCCATCACTCCGCCCAGCTAAATATCGTCGATTTCATGGTTGTAGGGGCTGACTAACATATTTCCCCACCCAACAAACATCCCTACCCAACAAACACCGAAATCAAATCCTACCCTCAACCAACTTCCCCAATATCTCAACAACAAAGGAAGATATTCAAATAAAATATTAGTAGCTAGTAGATCCAATTGAATATTACATATAAATCTCTATAGATTATCCAAAATCCTTTGTGATGGCTTAATAATGCAGCTGGAGTGGGATTGGATTGGTATTGACTCTTCTGGAATAAGAGCAACAGCATTTGTTGAATTCAAAGCTGGAAGGGTTGAATCTGCTTGAGAAGGATTCTCCAGATTTGGTTTCATGAAGGTTAGATCTATAAGAGAGTCCCTGAGGAATTCTGATCATGCTGAATTCTTTCTCATAAAGTTATTCTTTCTAATTTGACAATTCTTCTTCTGTTGTTTAATCTTCTCTCTCTTATAAGTTCTTTCAAGCTTCTCTTCTTCTTCTTTAGTCTTCTTAAGCTCTCTCTGTAGCTTTTGAGTATCTCTTTGAGCAGCTTTTTCAGCTTTTTCAACTGCTTTAAATTATTGAGCTTTCTTATGAGCTTTCTCTCAGAATTTCTTCCTCTCAGCAGCTTCTGCAGTCTTTACATCTCTTGCTATAGCTTTTTGAAGTCTCTGTTCTTTCTTTTGAGTCTTCTCTTATTCCTTTTACTTCTCTAATTCTTCATTTCTCTCTCTAATTTGAGCTACTTTTGTAGAAGAAAAGAATTGAGCAGACTCTGACTTCTCAGAATCAAAAAGATCCATTGTCTTATCATGCTAACATCATCTCTTTTTAACTCTTAAAGATTCAATCAAAGTGTTATAAATCTTGCAGCACAGCACAGAATCATCACACACCATTGAAAGAGCATATGGAGGATGTGACTGGGAAGTGGAGCATGGTGAGGCTATGAGAGTTATGGACTGGAAGAACTAGGACCTGAGAGGTGAAAGTCACATGATTGAATAGTCATGGATAGACAGAACAGTGAACAACTGGTTGCAACTATTCAGACTGGATGAGCAGGATAGGAGGACAGAGTGAAGGACTATTCAGAACTATCCACTATATCCATCATGTATATAAGAATGCTCTTTACTGTTGATCAGATGGATTTGTTCATTATGATCAATCTTTTCTCTCTTATGATTCTCTATAGAATTATCTATACAGATACTATCATATCTTGATTACTTTTTATATTAATGAAGTTCTGTGATACTGTACAATTGTATCTGCTCTCACTACTCTTGAGGAGGCACAACAGCCTTGACCCAACTCTGACATATCTGTACAGAAACTCTTTGCCATTGAGCAAGTCCACCAACTCAAGATTGAGCACCATTGAAGTATTAATCACTAAAGTCTCAATTTGTTATGTTAGACAACAAGTTCAATAACACATTGATCATCTCTGACTCAGAAGAGAATACATCTGAGACTCCAGAGCTTAAGTGCAAAGAAAGAATGTTACATCATGAGTGAAGAAGAAATAAAGATACAAACCCCACCCATTGAGAAGTCTAACAGAATATAGGAACTATATCTATAATCAGAACCTCAAACAGCACACAAGAAATAATGGAAAAGATTACACAACTTGAACAGACAATAGAAATCTTGACTCAGCAAAATCTTGAACTTAAAGATCACAACAAGCAGATTGAAACTCAAGTCATAGCAATCTCCAATGTCAAAAGCAAGATGAAAGTCAACCCACCAGAATTATTCAAAGATGAATGAGAAAAGTTATGAGTGTTTTTGAGACAACTATGAATCTATATGAATATGAAGAGAGAAGAATTCAAAAATGACAAAGAAAAAGTAATAACAGTAGCATCATATCTCTGGAGAGCAGCATTTGATTGGTTTGACACCTATTTATGAAACTACTATGAGAAAAGAGAAGTCAATCAGAATGATGACATGCTCAGAGTCATTAATCATTATGAAATCTTTATCAAAACACTCAAAACCACTTTCAGAGAAGTTGAAGAATGAAATGCAGCAACACAGCAGTTACAGAACATGCAGCAGAAAACATCATCACAGAAATATACTATGAGATTTTAACAAGTATGCATCAATACAGATTGAGACAATGAGGCCCTAGCTGATACTTTTTATCAAGAACTATTTGATGACATTAAAAATGAGATTGCATGCATGAAGAAACAATCATGAAACCTGACTGAAATGATCAAAGTGGCAGTTAGGATCAGAAACTGACTCTATAAATGAAAGATGGAGAAACAAGAAAAGGTATCATGGAAGAAACCCAGCTTGATGAATTATAAAGAATGAAGTAAAACACCTCAAGTGAATTCTTACAGATCTATGCCTATGGAACTGGATACAATCAGACAAGACACTCTTGACAAAAAAGAAAAAGAACAGAGAAAGAAAGACAAATTATGTTTCTATTGTAATAAATCAGAATATTAAGTGAAGCAATATTGAACAAAGAAAGTCAAACACAAAGAAAAAGAACTCAGAGCTATCTTACAAGAAAATGAAGAGAATCTTAAGAAATTAAAACATTATCTCTGAGCAACAGTTCAAGAGAAACCAACAGATGAAGAATTACAACAACAGTTTCATGAAACATTTGGAGAGTACATCATGAAGACTTACTGAGCACTATCAAGACAATTAGAAGATAAAAGCAAGTGTCTGAATGAACTAAAAAGCAACAAATGGAAATTGTGTGAAGAACTGTGTGTGATTAAAAGAAAGAAATCAAGTGATGATTGGGGAATTCAATCATTAAAATGTGACTATCACTATAATCTAAAAATGAATGAGATTTGAGACCCAACTCACAAGAAACATGTGAACTACTCAATCTATAATTGTTCATGTGAACTTCACCAGAAGCAGCAAGAAGAGTTCATGCAATGAATACAGATTATGAAAGACTTCATGTATCATGAAAACTACAGATGTAACATCAAAAATTGCCAGTGTTGCAGATGTGACACTGAAGAAAGTAAAGAAGAAATGTCAGATTCTCAGAATATGTCAAACACAGAGCATTCAGAACATGTTAGAATTCACTGAAGCTTGTGCTATAAAGATGAATGCTCAATTCACAAGAATGAAAAAGACAAAAGATACTATCTGAGATCATTGAAGAAATTGAAAGCAACTCAGAAAGAAGAAGAATCTAGTTGAGAGATACTAGAATTTAAAGAACATAAAGAGAATGTCATGAAGTAACTAGATCTCATGGAAAGTGTGACACTTGAAGAAGAAAAATATCCAACTGTGAGAATGTTACAGATTTGAGAAGAACAACTACACTGGACAATCTGCAAAGAAAATGGGACATTGTTGATATGAACATGTGAAAAATATTGAAATGAGAAACAAAAAGAAGTGAATAATTCATACCACTCATGTCATAACAAACTGAAATATGAATGCCAATGTGATTACCATCATGACAAAGAACAGTGGAAGGCAACAAGATCACTGCATGAACTACAAGAATATGAAGAATGTGCAGGATGCAGAGATATCAAAAGTCTAAGAAGAATGCACAAGATATAATATATCAACTTAGAAAATTGCAAGATACACAAACAGACACTCAAGACAACTCTTGTTAAATTGAGAAATGAGTGAACTGTCACAAATGAGAGTCTGTAAGCAGTGTAAGAAGACAAGCAAAACTGTTAGCCATCAACAGACAAATCTGTCACCTCAGAATTATGACAATCTTACTTGAATCAACACACACAAAGATCTTAGTGGACTCAGAAGCAATCAGATTATTCATCAATAGAAAATTTGTCAAATGAGCTGACATTGCAAAGTGAATAAAAAATCATCTCTATCAGTTAGCAGGACTGGAAGAAGAAACTCTGAATAGAGTTGAAGAAGAAACATACTTCATTAAAATGAAAATACAAGAACACAAAGAAAGAGTGTGTTTTGAAGTGATGAACTTAGAGAACTATAATATAGTCTTGAGATACTCTTGGTTGAAACAGCACAATTCAGACATTGACTGATGAGAAGAAAAAGTTAGACTAACAAACTGTGAATGCTCTCTCAAATCAGAACACCATGATTGAAGACCCATACTCAGGAATGACTTGGGTGAGACATTGGTCATGATAAGCCAAGTCAACAGAAAGATACCACAAGAAGAACAATTGATTGAAATAAAAGAAGAAATTCATGAAAACTCAAGTCATGATAAAACAGTGAATCAAGTCACAAAGAATCTTAACAACTCAATACAGCTGTGAGTATGAAAAGATGATCAGAATGCAAAGATCAAAGAAACTCTATCAGAAGAATTTTGGAAATACATTGACATGTTCAGAGAAAGAGATCAAGAAAATAGTCTAGTAAAATATGAATTCTGGAATCATAAAATCAAGCTACAAGAAGAGAAACAATCTGCAAAGTTACCAATCTATAGATTAAATGAGAAAGAATCAGCTGAAGTCAGAAAATACATCAAGAAGAATCTAGAGAAAGATTATATTAGAGAGTTGACATCATCAGCAGGATACTCAATACTGTTTGCATCAAAGAAAGACAGAATACTACAACTATGCATGAATTACAGGCAGTTGAACAGCATAACAGTCAAGAACTGCTATCTGATATCACTGATTGAGGAAGTGCAAGACAGATTGAGAGAAGTAAAATGATTTACTCTAATTGACATCAAAAAAGCATATCACCAAATACAGATCAAGAAAAGTAATGAATGGAAAACAGCTTTCAGAACAAGATATGAACTGTATGAGTACAATGTCATGTTATTTGAATTAACTAACACACCAGCAACATTTCAAGCACTTATCAACAATGCACTATGAGAATACTTGGACAACTTCATCATTGTGTATCTTGACAATGTGGTCATATTCACCAAAGAAGACCAAAAGGATCACACTGAGAAGATTAAGAAGATACTAAAAAGACTATAAGAATATAATCTATCAGCAAAGTTAAAGAAGTGTGACTTCTTCAAGAAAGAAATTGAATATCTCAGACACATCATATCAATAGAAGAAGTACAAATGGAATCAGGAAAGATTGATGAAGTACTGTAATGACTGACATTAAAGAATGTCAAAGAAGTACAAATGTTTCACAGACTAATGAACTATTACTGACAATTCATACATGAATTTTTAAAGAAAGTGAGATCACTCACACAGCTATTTAAAAAGAACAAATCATTCAAGTGAACAAACAAGTGTCAAAAAGCATTTGAAGCAATAAAAGACAAGTTCAGAAAAGAAGAAATGGGATGATACTATAATTCAATTAAAAAATGTGTGATTGATACAGATGCATCAGATTGTGTAATAGCAGGAAGACTGTAACAATCAGATAAACAAGAAAGATTAAGATTAATTGTGTGCTATGCAAGAATAATAACACCAGCAGAGCAGAATTATGATATCCACAATAAGAAGTTACTTGTGATAGTGGCATCATTAAAGAAATGGAAGATTGAACTGTAAGAAAACCAGCATCAGGCAGAGATCATCTTGAATCACAACAATCTATAATACTTTATGATGACAAAAAAACTCATAAGACAACAAGTGAGATGATATGCAGATGTACTAGTGCACCACAACTTCAAAATATAACACTGTAAAGAAACTGAAAATGCATGAATCAACACACTAAATTGAAGATCAGACTTGATGAAAAAGAAAAGAGATTCACAAGCACTCTTCAAGAAGTTAGAAGGAACAAAGAATATAATTCTGGATCAACAAGCTCTAAGAGCAACAAGAATCAAAGCAGAGAAATCAGATATCAAAAGAAAAATCAAGAAAGTCACAGTGGAAGACAAATATGCAAAGAAGATTGATGATAAAAACAAGAACTTTAAGAAAGAAGACAGAATGATACTATATCATGAACTGATATATGTATTAAGAAAGATTAGAAAAGAAGTGATGATACAAGAACATGATACAGTCACTTCAGAACACTTCAGCATTGACAAGATAATAAAGAAGATCACAAGAATGTACTATTGGTCAGAAATGTGAATAGACATTCAATAATATGTCAAAAAATGTGAGACATGTGCACAAAGCAAAACCAACAAGCAACAATCACATGGAAAACTACAGTTAATATCACAACTGCAAGAACCATGAAAATCTATAGCAATGAATTTTATTGTGAAACTCCCAAAATCAAAGAATATGGATGGAAAGGAGTACAATGCAATACTAGTGGTCATCAACAGACTAACAAAATACAGATACTTTATACTATTTAAAGAAGTAACAGACACATCAGAAACAGCACAAACAGTACTAAAGACAGTGATTGCCAATCACAGATTGTCAGAAGAGATAATCACAGACAGAGACACAAGATTCACAAGCAAGTTCTGAATGACATTAATGACACTATTAGAGATTGAACAAAAGATGTCAACAGCCTATCACCCACAGACAGATGATCAGACAGAATGATTAAATCAGACTTTAAAACAATATCTATAAGAATATGTGAACTATCAACAGAACAACTGAGTTGAACTGTTACCAATGGCACAACTAGCATACAATGAGTCAAAGAATGCTACAACAGAATTGACATCATTCTATATGAATTACAGCAGAGAACCAGAAATACAACAACAATCAAGAATTGCACAACAGAGAGCCCAAAAAGCAGAGCTCACCACAATACAGCTGAAAGAATTGCAAGACCACATGAGAATGGATATTGAATTCTTACAAGAAAGAATGAAGTACTACTATAATCAGAAGCATCAGGAGGCACCTATCTTAAAGAAGAAGAAGAAAGTATTTCTATTTTGATGAAACATCAAGATGAAAAAATCAAATGAGAAACTCAATTTCAAAAAACTGGAACCATACAAGATCAAAAAGCAGATTGGGAAGGTCAACTACAAACTACAACTATCAAAAAAGATGAGAATATACTCCATATTTCATGTTTCATTATTGAAAAAGGCACCACTACACACTAAAAAAATGCCCACAGAAATCAACAATGAACAAGAATATGAAGTGAAACAAATACTAGATCATCAGACAATCAGTGGAAAACTTCACTATCTAGTGAAATGAAAAGAATATGATATCTCAGAAAACATCTGGGAACCAGTGAAGAATCTTATGAATGTCTGGAAGATTGTTGAGACATATCATTGATGACATTCTCTGTTATTGAACTTGTTGTCCAACATAACAAATTGGGGCTTTAGTGATCAATACTTCAATGGTGCTTGATCTTGAGTTGGTGGACTTGTCCAATGGCAAAGGGTTTTCATACAGATGTGTCAGAGTTGAGTCAAGATCATCATGTCTTCTCAAGAGTAGCAAGAGCAGATACAATTGTACAGTATTACAGAACTTCAATAGTATGAAAAGTAATCAAGATATGATAGTATCTGTATAGATAAAACTATAGAGAGAATAGTAAGAGAGAAGATTGATCACAATGAACAAATTCATCTGATCAATAATAAAGAGTGTTCTTATATACATGATAGATATTGTGAATAGTCTGAGTAGTTCCTTCTATTCTTCTGTTCACTAGTCAGAATAGTTGTAACTATTCTGACTATTCAGCTATCCACCAGTTGAGATAGTTGCTACTATTCTGACTATTCAGTCATGTGACTTTCATCTTTTCAGATTCTAGTTATTTCAGTTCATAACTCTTGTAGTCTCACCATGCTCCACTTTCCAGTTGCATTCTTCATACACTCTTCCAATGGTGTGTGATGATTCTGTGCTGTGTCACAAGATTTATAACATCATTCTCTTCTTTTTTAGCATGTTGTCCTCAACCACTTATGCTCCCTCTTGGGTATAAAGAGTAATTGTCCTCTTGCTTTGTTTTCAAAAAGATTTTCTTCCTGTAAGTGAATGTTCTCATGACTCTGTCACCATGACTTCAAAGTCTTCTTGCAATAACAAGCATCTAGCTTTTAAAATTGAAGAAATTGATGTCATGATGTCTTCTTGCTGTGTTTATTGTTCTCATCATGATAAAGAGTGTGTCTGTTCTGATAAATCAATAAAGTGCTTCAAATGTTGTCAACTCAGTTATCATTGTGTTGTTGACTCCACACCTTCTGATTGTGATTGGCAAAATCTCAAAGCTGCTTGCAATAAGCTCAAACTTGAAGAGACAAAAGCTTTCAAGACTGTTCAAGCTGCCTCTGCCAAACTTCTTTATCTTCAAAAACAAAAACATCTTCTTTATGATTGTGCTGGCAAATTTCTTGAGTCAGGTCTTCAGTTGTTGGAGGAATTGGAGCATCTCAAGAAGAAAGAACAGAAGAGAGTAGCTGAGCAAGCAGAAATTCAATAATATCTTGCTTCATTAGACAATCTTTTCTTTGTTGAAATTGCTTCCCAAATTTTCCTTTTCATCTCCTTAATGCTCTTTTTGAACGAGGGTGTCATTAATGATACATCTCAACAATCTTCCCAGATGTTTATAAGATTCTTTACTGATTCCCAGATGTTTTCTGAGATATTGTATTCTTTCCATTTCACTAGATAGTGAAGTTTTTCACTGATCATCTGATGGTCTAGTATTTGTTCCACTTCATATTCTTGTTCATCATCAATTTCCATGAGCATTTCTTTAGCATGTAGCAGTGCTTTTTCCAGTAATGAGACATGAAATACAGAATATATTCTCATCTTCTTTGATAATTGTAGTTTGTAGTTGATCTTCTCAATCTGCTTTTTGATCTTGTATGGTCTCAGCTTCTTGAAATCAAGTTTCTTGTTTAATTTTTTTGTCTTGATGTTTCATCAAAGTAGAAATACTTTCTTTCTCTTCTTTAAGATAGGTGCCTTCTGATGCTTCTGATTATAGTAGTACTTCATTCTTTCTTGTAAGAATTCAATGTCCATCTTCATGTGATCTTGCAATTCTTTCAGTTATATTGTGGTGAGCTCTGCTTCTTGAGCTCTTTGTCATGCAACTCTTGATTGTCATTGTATTTCTGGTTCTCTGCTGTAATTCATATAGAATGGTGTCAGTTCTGTCATGACATTCTTTAATTCATTATATGCTAGTTGTGCCATTGATAGCAGTTCAATCCAGTTGTTCTGTTGGTAGTTCACATATTCTTGTAGATATTGTTTCAAAGTCTGATTTAATCATTCTATCTGACTGTCTGTCTGTGAGTGATAGACTGTTGACATCTTTTGTTCAATCTCTAATAGTGCCATTAATGTTGTTCAGAACTTACTCATGAATCTTATATCTCTGTCTGTAATTATTTCTTCTGACAATTTATGATTGACAATCACTGTTCTTAATATCATTTGTGCTGTTTCTGATGCATCTGTTGCTTCTTTGAATGATATAAAGTATTCATATTTTATTAGTCTGTCAGTGACCACTAGTATTGTGTCATACTTCTTTCCATTCATATTTTTTGATTTCAGGAGTTTCATGATAAAATCCATTACTATAGACTTTCATGATTCTCATAATTGTGGTATTGACTGTAGTTTTCTGTGTGGTTGCTGCTTGTTGGTCTTGCTTCATGCACATGTCTTATATTCTTTGACATGTTGTCAAATGTCTGTCCACATTTCTGACCAATAGTACATTCTTGTGATTTTCTTCATTATCTTGTCAATGCTGAAGTGTCCTGAAGTGACTGTGTCATGTTCTTGTATCATCACTTCTTTTCTGATTTTTCTTGATACATATATTAATTCATGATATAGTATCATTCCATTTTCTTTCTTGAAGTTCTTGTTTTTATTGTCAATCTTCTTTGTATATTCATCTTTCACTGTAGCTTTCTTGATTTTTCTTTCAATGTCTGATTTCTCTGCTTTGATTCTTGTTGCTCTTAGAGCTTGTTGATTCAGAATTATATTCTTTGTTTCTTCTAACTTCTTAAAGAGTACTTGCAAATCTCTTTTCTTCTTCATCAAGTCTGGTCTTCAACTTAGTGCATCAGTTCATGCATTTTCAGTTTCTTTGCAGTGTCATATTCTGAAGTTGTGGTGCACTAGTATGTTGGCATATCATCTTGCTTGTTGTCTCATGAGTTTCTTTATCATTATAAAGTATTGTAGGTTATTGTGGTCTGAGATGATCTCTGTCTGATGCTGGTTTTCTTGCAGTTCAATCTTCCATTTCTTTAATGATGTCACTATTGCAAGTAATTTCTTGTTATGAATATCATAATTCTGCTCTGCTGGTGTCATTGTTCTTGTGTAGCATGCAATCAATCTTAATCTTTCTTATTCATCTGGTTGTTGCAGTCTTTCTGCTATCATGCAATCTGATGCATTTGTGTCAATCACATATTTCTTGATCAGATTGTAGTGTTGTCTCATTTCTCTTTTTCTGAACTTGTTTTTTATTGCTTCAAATGTCTTCTGACACTTGTTTGTCCACTCAAATGATTTATCTTTCTTAAATAGCTGTGTGAGTGGTCTCACTTTCTTTAAAAATCTGTGTATAAATTGTTGATAGTAGTTCACCAGTCTGTGGAACATTTGTACTTCTTTGATATTCTTTGATGTTGACCACTGTAGTACTTCATCAATCTTTTCTGATTCCATTCATACTTCTTCTGTCAATATGATGTGTTCAAGATATTCAATTTCTTTCTTGAAGAAGTCACACTTCTTTAATTTTGCTGATAGATTGTATTCTTATAGTCTTTTTAATATCTTCTTGACTTTCTCAGTGTGATTCTTTCAGTCTCCTTTGGTGAATATGACCACATTGTCAAGATATGTGATGACAAAGTTGTTCAAGTATTCTTGTAATGCATTGTTGATGAGTGTCTGAAATGTTGCTGGTGCATTAATTAGTTCAAATGATATGATGTTGTATTTATACAGTTCATATCTTGTTCTGAAAGCTGTTTTTCATTTGTTGTTTTTCTTAATTCATATTTGATGATATGCTTCTTTAATGTCAATCAGAGTAAATCATTTTACTTCTCTTAATCTGTCTTGCACTTTCTCAATCAGTGATATCAGATAGCAGTTCTTGACTGTTATGCTGTTCAACTGTCTGTAATTCACACATAGTTGTAGTGTTCCATCTTTCTTTGGTGCAAACAGTATTGAATATTCTGCTGGTGATGTTAATTCTCTGATATAATCTTTCTCTAGATTCTTCTTAATATATTTTCTGACTTCAGCTGATTCTTTCTCATTCAATCTGTAGATTGACAACTTCATGGATTGTTTTTCTTCTTATAGTTTGATTTTATGGTCTCAGAGCTTGTGTTTTGCTAGATTATTTTCTTAATTTCTTTTTCTGAACATGTTAATGTACTTCCAAAATTCTTCTGGTAGGGTTTTCTTGATTTTTACATTCTGATTATCTTTCCATACTCACAGCTGTATTGAGTTGTCAAGATTCTTTGTGACTTGATTCACTGTTTCATCATGGTTCAGATTATTATGAATTTCTTCTTTTATCTCAATCAATTGTTCTTCTTGTGGTATCTTTCTGTTGACTTGGCTTATCATAATTAATGTCTTGCTCAAGTCATTTCTAAGTGTGGGTCTCCAATCATGATATTCTGATTCAAGAGAGCATTCACAATTTGTCAGTCTAATTTTTTCTTCTCACCAGTCAATGTCTGGATTGTGCTGTTTCAACCAAGAGTATTCCAAGACTATATCATAGTTCTCTAGATTTGTTACTTCAAAATGCACTCTTTCTCTGTATTCTTGTATTTTTATCTCAATGGGGTATGTTTCTTCTTCAACTCTATTCAGAGTTCCTCCTTCCAGTTCTGTCAACTGATAGGAATGTTTCTTTATTTACTTTATGATGTCAGCTTATTTGACAAATTCTCTGTTGATGAATAATTCAGTCACTTCTGAGTCCACTAAGATCTTTGCATGTGTTGATTCAAGTAAGATTGCTGTAATTCTGAGGTGACAGATTTATTTATTAATAGCTAACAGTTTTGCTTGTCTTCTTACACTGCTCACAGGCTCTTGTTCATAACAGTCCACTTATTTTCCAATTTAACAAGAGTTGTTTTAAATGTCTATTTGTGTATCTTACAATTCTTTAAGTTGATACACCATATCTTGTGCATTCTTCTTAGACTTTCAATATCTCTGCATCCTGCACATTCTTCACATTCTTGTAGTTCATACAGTAATCTTGTTGCCTTTCACTGTTCTTTGCCATGATGATAATCACATTGGCATTCATATCCCAGTTTGTTGTGGCATGGGTGATGTGGATCATTCACTTTTTTTTGTTTCTCATCTTAATATCTTTTACATGTTTGTATCAACAATGTCTCATTTTCTTCACAAATCATCCAGTGTAGTTGTTCTTCTTGAATCTGTAACATTCTCACAGTTGGACATTTCTCTCCTTCAAGTGTCACACTTTTCATGAGATTTAGTTGTTTCATGACATTCTCTTCATGTTCTTTAAATCTGAGTATTTCTCAACTAGATTCTTCTTCTTTCTGAGTTGCTCTTAATTTCTTTAATGATCTCAGATAGTATCTCTTGTCTTTTTCATTCTTGTGAATTGAATATTTGTCTTTATAGCACAAGCTTCAGTGAATTCTAACATGTTCTGGATGCTCTGTGTTTGATATATTCTGAGAGTCTGACATTTCTCATTCACTTTCTTCAGTGTCACATCTGCAATGCTGACAGTCTTTAATGTCACATCTGTAGTCTTTATGATATATGAAGTCTTTCATAATTCATGTCCATTGCATGAACTCTTCTTGTTGTTTCTGATGAAGTTCACATGAACAACTGTAGATCAGATAGTTTACATGTTTCTTGTGAGTTGAATCTCAAATCTCATTCATCTTCAAATTGTAGTGATAGTTGCACTTCAATGATTGAATTTCCCAATCATCACTTGATTTCTTTCTTTTAATCACACACAGTTTCTCACACAATTTCCATTTGTTGCTTTTTAGTTCATTCTGATACTTGCTTTCATTCTCTGATTGTCTTGATAGTGCTCAGTAGATCTTCATGATATGTTCTTCAAATGTTTCATGAAACTGTTGTTGTAATTCTTCATCTGTTGATTCCTCTTGAACTGTTGCTTAGAGATAATGTTTTGGTTTCTCAGAATTCTCTTTATTTTCTTGTAAAATAGCTCTGAGTTCTTTTTCTTTATATTCAGCTTTCTTTATTCAACATTGCTTCACTCAATGTTCTGATTTGTCACAATAGAAACATAATTTGTCTTTCTTTCTCTGTTCTTTTTCTTTTTCATCAAGAGTGTCTTGTCTGGTTGCATTCAATTCCATAGACATAGATCTGTAAGAGTCTGCTTGAGATGCTTTATTTCATTCTTTGTAATTCATCAAGCTGGATTTCTTTCATGATATCTTTTCTTGTTTCTTCATCTTTTATTTATAGAGTCAGTTTCCAATTCTAACTGCCACTTCAATCATTCCAGTCAGATTTTGTGATTGTTTCTCCATGCATGCAATCTTGTCTTTGATGTCATCAAATAGTCCTCAATAGAACATATCAGTCAGGGCCTCATCATCCCAATCTGTGTTGACACATACTTGTTGAAATCTCATAGCATATTCTTGTGATGATATTCTCTGTCACATGTTCTGTAACTGTTGTGTTGCTGTATTTCATTCTTCAATTTCTTCAAAAGTGGTTTTAAGTGTTTTGATAAAGATTTCATAATGGTCAATAACTCTGAGCATGTCATTATTCTGGTTGACTTCTCTTTTTTTATAGTAGTTTTATAAATAGACATCAAACCAATTGAATGCTGCTTCTCAGAGGTATGATACTGCCACCATTACTTTTTCTTTATCATTTTTGAATTCTTTCCCCTTCA